GTACAGCAATTATTCAAAATAGGGGACCTCGGCCAAAGATGAGTCCTCAACTCAGAATGTATTTTGACACATACTATATAACTTAGACCAATTTGGCAGCAAGATCAGTACTTTATTAACTATCTCCACTGGGGTTAGTCTGTTAGGCCCTGGTGGGCTTATTGAAGGTTTACTGTGGTAATGTTACTTCCGCACTTCACGAAATTTGTAAACATTACGTGTTAGGTGTATCAACATTTCGTTTTTTGCTGCAGAAATCTTGAAACTCATAACTCACTCCTTCCCCCTGCAGACATCCGAAACCTTTATATCTGAAATTAAAGATGGCTGACTTGATGCAGATGGTGTCATGTGTGTTGGTTGAGATACCATGGCCAACCATCTTTTCGTTTATACACATTGCCTAGTGGTTGATTTACAACTTGACCGAGATATTACCATACATTTCAATATCAAATGTACCAGTTCAGAACGCATAGAAAAATTGATATTGAAATTCAAACAGATTTTACCGTCTTTATGTATATCAACATTGGAGATAACTGTTAATCAAAAATTGAAAAAAATAACAGATAATTTGTCAATTAACTTTGTGATTTAAAAAATATATCAAACTCATGAAATGGGAAGTTGCAAAATGGTGTTAGTTACTGGGGTCTATTTCATTTCAATTGCAATGCTTTATATGAAAGAAAGCATGAAATGACACCTCGAGCTCCCAAAACCCCTCATTTGGATATAACAGTTCTAAAATGGCTTATATATTTAATGTTACTTTTGTAGTTATAAGGGCGGGTTCTCCAAAGTAAATTAACTGAGTTTAAGGATAAAAAAGAAAAGAAGTAAATGAAATTAAAATGTTACACGTCCAATAAGGGTGGTCTTATAGATACAATGTATGTACATAAGACCACCATGAAACTGACATGATAGATAATTGTCACAGTCCCTCGTCTGGGTATGAAACAGGAGTTACCAACATCCTATTATAGTACAACGGTCCACAGCATTATAAAGTAACAACAGAAACAGTACATTATGTTGTCAACCTCTTGACACAGCAATTGTTGTTCTTCGACTTGAAATGATCAATTGTATTGTTCTAAAATTCAGAACAAATGTTCAATTCATTACTGTCAACATGTGTTTTTCATTTCACACAAGGTGGTTTAATTTTCCTCTTTGACAAATCTTAAAGGAAATTTTCATTGCTAAACATTATATTGGAAAACAGGGAGGAAATAATTCAATTCAAGCTTTTAGAAACAAAAAATTCATACCAGACTGATAATTATTAAGGAGAAATGTTTACTTTGCAGTATTTTTAGGATACAATTAGTTTCCATAATCATTTTGGGGTGGGGGTGGGGAATGGGCAAAACATTATTTAAAAGTTGTAATCAAGGCTTAATGGGGCTGTTTATATAATACTCTATTTATCAGGCAATAAGCTCAGGGGCCAAAACATATCTCTAAACTCAAAATACATATTGGAGAGAGTTTATTACAGGCAATGGAAATAACAACTGATGGTATCTCCACGAAACTACAATTTATATTTGTGGGTGGGCTTATTACCAGGCATGAGCTTATACCAGACATTTACAGTTGTAGAACAGTCTGTTGGATGGTCCCTAAAAACGGTAGAATTAAAAGATTATAGGACATGAACAGATTAAATACATGAATCTGGGATATAAGATAACAAAATCCCTATCGGGGGGGGGGGGGGATAGAGATAAGTGGTGATTGGGGGAGGGGGCATTATAAAAAGGGTCCGACATACGAATGGGTGGACAGGTATAAAATACTTGTCATGGGTAGAAAGACTTAAGGAAGAAATGAAGGTTCCAAAATGGGGTAGATGGGTAGGGGGATTTGAGTACAGCAAAAGAAAAGGCCAGGAATTGTGATATGGCTGAGGGCGAATATTAGGAACTATCTGGGTCTGAGAGTAAGACAGAATTTTGAAGAGGATAGAAGATACATTGAAAAAAAAAGAGAAAATGCAGAAAACCAGATAAAAAATATTTGAGAGTGTAAAGAATGGTTGGGGTAAAGGATTCAAGAAATGAATGTCACAAGTGACCCTAAGAGGTCATGGGGAATTTAATCAGGGTCCAAAGGTCAGAATTTAGGGCATCAGTCCGCAAAACAATGAGTTTGAAAATGATATAATTTCACAAATACCGTATTTACTGTAATAGACACTGATCTCCTTTACTAAGCAACCTCCCTCTATGTCTGTGAAAAAATGGTCAACCATACCTGTTGACCCCTTCTCCATTGAAAACCTAAATTAAAAATATCTCCAATTCATCTAATAGCAGAAACCCATATTCTATTAACTTAAGTTTCCCAACAAAACTGTTAGCCCATGGGGATCATAATACACCAAATATGGTAACCCACCTTACTAACAGTATAAATTAGTTTTAAGCCAATACAGGCCCTATCTTTCCATTACATAAAGGATGTGTGATTCCCCAAATCATAGATACCTAGGGAGCCTTTAACGTCAAATACGGTATAACATTACACCCTTGTAGATCTATAATGTACCAGCCAGGTAAGCTAGCTATATTTTTTATCTTAAAAAAATGAACCCGTAACTTAGCCCTACAATACTTGTGTGCATTTATTTTATCTAAATAAATCTTAAATGTAATCTTGATATATTGACTACTTAACAATCGTATTGACAAATTTGACAGTCAATATATCTTTGGATTAAATGTCAAGATTGAATGATGATACAAGTCTAAATGCTGTGTCGAAAGAATGGAAGATCGGTTTTTACAAAGTATGTCAGATTCTGACACCAACAGGTTTTTAAATTTTGGTTTACGATTTCATTCACTCTATTTGACAACTGGTAATTATGAGGTTCAAAGTCACCACTAAATGGTGAAAAAAATCTAACAACTGGAGGTTAACCGGTCCAATATAAATTTTCAATCATCTTTTTTTTTATTAAATCATCTGAAGATTAAATTGAAGCATCAGTGCATGTCTGTGTGTAAAAATAGCTGCAATTTGTGTGTATCATAAATTATTTTCCACCCACACCTGTAGAAGTGTCATGTTAACAGGGGAAAAAAAATAATGACTCATCAACAACTGGCTTAGCCTTTGGATAGAATGGGTTTAGTTACCCTTCCGACTTTTCTAGTAGTTCACACCTGACTTTTCCAGCAATTGACACTTTTTTTACATCCCTAATGGTGTGGAAGGTATTGATTTTCAACTGTCTTAGTCACATTTACTACAGTTTTAAATCCTTTTCCTTAGTCTGCATGTACAGTACATTGCAAGACCTGAAAATTGCATCACACTAACGAGTATTTAAATAAAATGTCAATACATATTTTTTAATTAATCAAAGATGAGTAACTTTTTTCAATAGACATTATTTTATGTACATGTACAAGTTTTATTCAAATTTTATTTCTTTATAAACATGAAAAATCTTGTATTCAAAGATACCTTGTTTAAGCAAAGGATATGTTACCAAAGTCAATCAAAAAGCTAGAACTTCACAAGAGGTGCCCAAATGTTTTGAAAGGTTCTGTCGGTAATTGAGTACTTGAAGAGACTTTGATATTGAGTATGTTTCCAAGGTTGTCTTAATATGAAAACAATATTTCAAACAACAGTTCAAATCACAACTCAACAGATATATTTCAAAGCAAAGCCATTAAAACAACTTTAAATTAATGAAGTCAGCTTTAACCATGATACAATGTGTATTATGATATCATGAAAAACATTGTTTTCAACACTCTTTAATTTTTTATTGTGATTAAACTTGGAATTTAACTTTTATGTACAATGTCTGTGCTTTAACTTTTATGTACAATGTCTGTACTTTACTTACAGAGAGTAACTTATTTTGGTTTCAACAAAGTACATGCTTATAATGAACAACAAACTATCTATCAAGTATCTATCGCTCAACGTCAAGATTTCTTCACAACTAGGAATTTCAGGATTTTTAATGGGAAATTAACAGTACTCATCATATAGTCATTCATTATCTCTCTTCCTCAACTTGGCATGCGATTTAGGATGCCATTTGCGACATAATATCAGCTTACAGAATTATTTAGTAAATTACACAGAGGAAACCAGTTACCTATATCAAGATGAGCTTTTAACTAAATGTGTACATCTGTTCTTGGTGTTTGTATATCAAATTATCTGTGCGCTGCTGTTAGCCCTAGAGCTACAGTGTATAGTGTGGTAGATCTAGTGGCTGGCGTATACATACATGTAGATACCCTCTAGCTAACACTCTTCAACATATATATAACATGTATTCAAGTTCATGCTCTCTAAAATTCCTATCCAATATTTAGCCATACTGATACTAGTTATTTTTAGTTCCATTATTGATTTATTTAGGTTGCTGTCAAGATTTTAAACTGACATATATATGTAATCTAAATACTTATCAAAATATCATCATTCTATATCAGCCTACAGGCTACATGTAGCATGCAACATTTTAAATTTATCAAATAACACATATTCTGCATTAACTTTTATCTCCACTCCACAAATAAATCCTTTAACTAAAAGTGATATAAATGTAACCGTGTCTGTTATGTGTTGTGAATCAAATGTAAACAACCAGTTTCTATAGCCTTGTGTATTGGAGCTGTGTATTCCAGTCTACTTTCAAATTCGCTACATGTAAAATGTAGAGCGGCTCTGTCCAACATAGTTGAACAGTGTCAAATATAAACCAAGCCTTACACGACAAGAAAATACCACACAAACGCATTTTGGCATTCCTGAAATCAAGAGACATCGCGATCCCGCACACACACACGAGGGCTAACATCTCTCCCCGCTTGCTAATGCGGCGATCGATATGAAATCATTGTGCGAACTTGTCACCTATCTCTGGAGTTCAACACGAACCGTTACAAATACATCACTGACCTCATTTTAACTGGACTTTTTAGCTGTGTCGATAGAAATATATAAATACTTACATGTCTGAGTCTTTTTAGTTTGAGATTCACTCAAAAGAAGCGTAAATATCCATAAGAAACACCAAGACTGAGAGACCCAGTCTGGGCCATGCGCCATGTTGAGTTACCACTAACACAAAATCACTTCCGGACGAGAGCGCCATCTGTAAACAAAAGAACGTGCAAGGCAGGTGCGAGATGTCACTTGAGGGGCCCGATGTGGGGTAATTAAATATTTTACATTTTATACTAGTAAGAGTTCATATTTAATATCGGATGTATTTTCATAGTTATACATTAAAATCTTAGTGAGATTACTTTGTTTCAATATTGATATTAATAATTTACATTAATCTTATCTCTGTCTAAACCGGCAACTGTTTATAACGGATAGAGCAATGGTTCTCCATTAAATTCTCCACTAACTTAAGTCCCTAAGACCAATTAGCATACACAGATATAACGTTATGGCAGTTCTAGATCCAAGGAATTTCTGAGCAGAGGGGAACCGGAATGACTTGTGACAAACTTTGTCTGCTCCTAGCACCCCTTCTGATGTCTAGTGCATAAGGGGGCACATCCCAAAAATTAACCCACAAACCGTAATTTTGAATGAATATGTGTATCTTGCATCTCATTTATTTGACATTGATAAAAATAACTTGTTTTTTCGGAAATAATATTTAAATACTTTTCTTCTGTTCACGCAACAGACATACACAATGTATGTTCAAATCAAATCAAATCAAATAATATTTATTTAGAGTCGGAAAATTTGTAACATATAACATTAGCTCTAAAGAGCTATTTACCGGTTAATAATCAACCTAATAAAATTAACATACTGAACACAAGGTTACTGGCAATGTAACATAGCATGAACATTTTCCCTACTTCTTTTAAATTCGAATTTCAATATTTGAAAAGTGGCTTTAAATGAGGTCTCGATTTATTTTTTTATTAAAGTTCCGTTATTGTCCGCATCATTTTTTCAGAAATTCCTCGTATCCGACACTATTTAGTATAGTTTGATGTGCCAGTGTGATGCGACCCATCAGAAAATGCCGTTCGGTGTATGGGCCATAACTCGCGTTCCCAATAACAAAACGTGGCGGTTCGGATAACATCATTTTACAGATATGGTCCTTTGGTTTCACAAATGAAAATATTTCTTACGAAAATAATGTATCTTTTATTTATATGTGTGTGTTTTTTTAAAATACGTAATCAATATCAAACGGTAAATAGTATTGATTAGGTTTCTAAAATGCCAATCATCCTAAGGATCAGCTCATATACAGACCCACCTGTACAGACGCCATGTACACACCATCTTTTATACATTCATTTATATGCATATTGAGATAATTGTCACATAACTTAATTTATAGTGCTGATTTGTATGTATTTTATATCTACCACATATATAACTGTCACCGAGAAATTATTTAGATTTAACAATCAAAAAACCATGTGCTATTTACATGTACGCGTGAATAAAAAAAAAACGAAAAACACAATAGCATCTTCTTGTACAGATGTGATTTTTAAAGCTAGATATATATATGTGTAAATCATTTTACATTTTACAGAAAGCAGAAATCTATTCAACAACATATTTACAGAACATATAGAATTTTCACAGAAACATTTTGCCTCAGAACAACTCTAACGTCACACGGTGTACCAAACCCGTACCACTCACCCACTGCTGGACGTTCGGGGCCAAAACGACAACGTTGCTCACCAATGACATCAAATATGTATAAATCAGGATTCAATGTGCTGGACCTATTCCATAATCTGAAATATTAAACCACATTTCTTTTTAAGAAAGATTTTAAATTTTCCGAAGTGTTACTGGGAAAGATACGCATTGTCAGTGTTAATTTTGTTCCATAATCTGATAAAAGGAAAAGTGTAAGTTTCAGGTCTATTATTGTGTAACATGTAACTGTTTGCAGTACTAGAACAGAGAGTCCGAATCAATTACAGAATACATTTATTCTGTGAGTTTTTCCTCTTTAGTTTAAACATATTTTATTGACATATAATATGACAATAGGATAAGCCAGTAAGTTTTTCCAACTTATAGATGACTTCTCCAAATAACACACATAACATATTTACAATAGAGGTCACGTGATGGCATGAAAGATAACAAAAAATGATGAAACTCAGTGAAATCAAGGAATCAATCTGAAGAAACACTTGCGTCACCATTACAGAGTAAGTTTACATCAATAACACCATCATACCATGCTAAATCTGTATACAATATTCTACGTAAGGTCAGATATAGGGGACAAAAAATTGGAAAATGATAAGAATCTCAAAATGTGCTGCCTTTGTTTGAACAACGTAACTGTTCATTTCTGTCGTTATCGGTGAGAAGGCATCCATCTATACATTCCACCATACTCAGATGATTCCATACTCTGGTGATTCCATACTCTGGTGATTCCATACTCTGATGATTCCATACTCTGGTGATTCCATACTCTGATGATTCCATACTCTGATGATTCCATACTCTGGTGATTCCATACTCTGATGATTCCATACTCTGGTGATTCCATACTCTGGTGATTCCATACTCTGATGATTCCATACTCTGGTGATTCCATACTCTGGTGATTCCATACTCTGATGATTCCATACTCTGGTGATTCCATACTCTGGTGATTCCATACTCTGATGATTCCATACTCTGGTGATTCCATACTCTGGTGATTCCATACTCTGATGATTCCATACTCTGGTGATTCCATACTCTGGTGATTCCATACTCTGATGATTCCATACTCTGGTGATTCCATACTCTGGTGATTCCATACTCTGATGATTCCATACTCTGGTGATTCCATACTCTGGTGATTCCACACTCTGATGATTCCATACATAGATGGCCTACTGTATTTATCTTATTAAGTGGCCATCGGTTTAAAACGTAGATTTGGAAGTTCTTTTAGCATTTTCGGAGTGGACTATGGATTTACATCACGTCATGTCCGTCTTGATTGTCATTCGGTCTTTGGTAACTATTTCATTCCAAATGATTTCGTTGGCTATTCACATAAATAAATGGCATTTCTCGTCCAGACAATACATTTTTCTAATATTACAACCTACATTGTAAAAACACAATTTCATATTTTTAGGTTGTTGTATTAGAAGACCGTAATTGGGCTCCTGATAGCAAACTTGCCTTTTTATATTTCTTTCTGACATAACTGATGTCACTTGACGATCAGATGTACCCATTTACGTCAGATATAGTAAAAGTGTTGGAAGTAGAAATTATTTTAAGCAACGAGGAGCGCGTGCGTCCAGTCCTATTTGGTTTGTTTATAAATTTCTTCAACTATGAAAAATAAAAATGAAACAATGTTCAGTGTTGCATGTTATATGTATATGACAGGCAAGTAAAATGCAAAATTAAGGGTTGATCAGAGGAGGTTTCTAAATGTAAACCAACAGTGGGACCAGGACCGACAAGGTACATGTATTATGCGAGTTGCGTACCTTTGGTCAGGCAAAAGTGGGTTGCTCATAGAACAATTGATGTAACTTTAGTGTACCTACCTGTTTTATCATGTACTTTTTAATCCAGATATTCTTGGTTTGTGCACATCAAGTATAAACATGGCTCTTCTTTTGTCTTGTTTATCATAGTATTAGCTATTGTAAGATGCGAGGAGAACGGTGTCAAAACGTCAGGAACGACGGCAACTGCGGATGTGACGTGTCAAGATTGTTGCATATTTATATGTTACAGAATAACATACAGAAACGACTAACAAAAGGTTTTTGTTACACAAAGATTTCTTTATAAATTCTTCGCCGATTGACCAATGTTATGCTTGATTTAAAGAGAACGATTTTCGTACAAAGATGTTATACTTCATACTTATAAATAATCGGTTACGAGCGTAGCTGTGTTACGTTAGGTTAAGTATAAACCTAATATATTTCACAACAACTGTGAAACAACTTTGTTCAACTTATATTGATCACTCCTGTTGGCCCGGATGTTAGCGAGCGGGGGGG